GATTCAATCAAATTAAAATATCTTGTGAAATAAGAAGTCTTCATAACTACCAAGTAGATTGTTTATTAATATTAACTATAAAATTAAATTGTACCGGAATTATCTAAATTAAGTTTAGACTTTCAACAATACATTATATACATTATCTGTTTATCACACTATAGTTGTACATTTTTATACAAATATATGATATTGCCCAAAATTTCTTACATCTGACGCAATTTTTGTCGAATCTAATTGGAGAAAGCTGGAAATCAAAAATTTTTTTTCAAACGCGATTTTAATTTATTCTTACACGAAAATTACAAATCAAAAATCAATCAAAAAAAAAATTCAAATATAAAAATCGACCAAAAATCCATCTTTTTAAAAACTGTAAAAATTCAGAATTTTTGAAATAAAATTTACCCAAAAACGTCTCTTGAAAAAAATAAATAAAAATGGCACCTCAAAGGACTTTATTTACTGAAAAACATTTAAAACATTTAAATCAAAACCTGGCGAAATTGCCACCTCAAAAAATCTTGGAATGGGCCATCGTAACTTTACCAGGATTATATCAAACGACAGCCTTCGGTCTCACCGGTATGTATCGAAAAAAAAAATTTTTTTACTTTTTTTTTTAATACCTATCCAAGCTTATTTTTTAAATATGTTTTTTTTTTATTTTTTTTTCTCTCTTTATTAAGGTCTCGCTATCCTGGATATGATATCAAAAATCAGTCAAGAATTTTCTGAGGAAAACGAAACTGAGCCACAACATTTGGTTCCGCTGATCTTCCTCGACACACTCTATCATTTTCCCGAAACTCTTCAGTTATCCAATACCGTAGCGAATCGTTATAAGGTTCCATTACATGTTTATAAGCCAATTGATTGTGAAACAGTAGAAAGTTTCGAGGCGCAGCACGGACAAAAATTGTGGGAGAATGACGAAGATAGCTATGATTATCTAGTAAAAGTCGAACCTTCAAGAAGAGCTTATAATCAATTAAATGTTTTAGCTGTGATCACAGGTAGAAGAAGAAGTCAAAAAGGAGACAGAGAAAATATCGATATCTTGGAATTGGAAAAGGGAACCGGGTTAATAAAATTAAATCCTTTAGCTCATTGGGACTTTGCAAAAGTTAAGGCATACATTAAAGCCAATGAGGTAAGAAATTCCCCGAGAACATCTTCGAGAATATTCGATAACATCACTTTGGATCGTCATCTAACCGTCTAACCTTATTTATCCTTAAAGGTACCTTACAATCCGCTCCTCGATCAAGGTTTTAGGTCGATTGGTGATTGGCATAGCACTAAACCATTGAATAATGATACTTCGAATGAAAGAGATGGAAGATGGGAAGGAAAAAATAAAACCGAATGTGGTTTACATAAAGATTATTTCAAAATGAGAGCCGCTTTCAATGCCGCTAAAAAGAAAAGAATGGCCGCTGCATCTGCATCACAAACACCAATTCGAACCACCTCATAATAAAATTATTTCATATATTTAAAAGATTAATATTTTTGTAATATAATAATTAGCATTCATTTTCGTAAAAGTAATCTTGCATGTATAAACTTATTTTTATGCTATAGTCTGTATCTTTGTGCTCCAATAGATGAGTGGCTTATAATTGATAATTTTTTTTTTTTTGATAAAAAAAAAAAATTCCCTTTAGCACTGCACTCACTTTTTAATAAAAAAAAAAAAAATCTTTTGATTGATTAAATTTAAAAAAATTAAAAATATGGAAACTTCGCAGGAAGTTCAAGTTCGTTTCGTAACTAAACAACCTGAATTTGCTGTTACTGATACTCCAATACTTGTACCCGCCAAGTTAAAAAGATATGGATTATCTGAAATTATAAATCATCTTTTAGGCTTCGGTACTTTACACCTTTACTTATTAACCTTTACCATTTCGAATCAATTAAATTAATTCATCTTTAAATAAACTTTAGAGAAGCCCGTACCATTTGATTTTATGATAGATAATTTATTTTTAAGAACAAGTTTATTAGAATATTTAGAAAATTCTGGATTATCAACTGAAAATATTATTACCGTCGAATATGTCGAATCTATGTTACCACCTACTCCTTTATCTTCCTATCAACATGATGATTGGATAAGTTCTGTTAAAAGTTATAATCAAAGGTGATATCAACATTTATTTATTTATTTTTAAAAGGAATTTTAATTGACATCTTTAAAATTGGATCTAGATATTTTTTGACAGGTTCTTATGATAATTATGCAAGAATATGGAATGCTTCAGGAGAATGTTTGCAAACTTTCATGGGTCATAATGCTCCTATAAAAAGTGTTTCTTGGGTTTCGGTTCAGGGTATTTATTTCTTCTCTTTTTTTGATCTTGCTTACCAAATTTATTTATTATTTAATTTTTTATTTAAAATTGAATTTGTTAGATGATGATGAATTATCGTTTTTATCAGCTTCACAAGACAGAACTATTAGAGCATGGAAGTCATCATTCGAACATAATAAATATATATCGTTATATGAATGTGTTGGGCATAAAGATAGTGTTGAAAGTGTTTCTGTCAGTCCTTCTGGTTCCGAGGTAATGATTTATATTTTTTTCTCTTTTTTTTTTTTTTGGTTTTTGAAGAAAAATTGTGTCGTTCTTTTTAGTTAAAGAAGTTTGAAATTTATAGTTTGCAAGTGGATCTTGGGATTCTTCTATTATGCTTTGGACAATGGAAATACCTGAAGATAGTGATGATGACGAACATATTAAGATTCAATCTTCTTCAAAAAGAAGAAAAGTTAATAAAAAAGAAAAAATACGCACAAAGGTATTATCATTTCTATTCTTAATTGAAGATTATCATTGAAAAAAACAAATTTTTTTTTGGTAAAATGAACTTTTGATTATATAGTATCCAATCGCTACAATGAATGGACACGTTGGAGCAGTTTCTTCAGTTACATTTGATCATAAGGACAATAATAAATTATATAGTGGAGGATGGGATCATACTATTAGAATTTGGGACGTTGAAGCTAGAACTAATATAGATACCAAGGTTTCTAATTTTATTTTTTTATTTTTTTTTTTCCTTAATAGTTTCGAAAATATTTTGATATCAAATTTACAATAAAACCGATTTTTTTCTTTTTTAGAATTGTGATAAAGTAGTTTATGGAATTTCATATTCAAAAAAATCAGGATTGATAGCTTCAGGACATTCAGATCGAGTAATTAGGATATGGGACCCGAGAGCAACAGGTACTTACTTACAACATCCTTTTTGATTAAACTTCGCGTTCTCTTCACAGTTTAATCTTCCTTTTTTTTTTTTTTTTTTCGCATTTCTAGATACAGCTATTGTAAAATTAACATTATCATCACACAAAAATTGGGTAACCAGTATATCATGGTCAACAACAAATTCATTTATGCTGGCTAGTGGATCATACGATGGTACAATAAAAATTTGGGACATTAGAAGCAAGACGCCACTATATACTCTCTCTAAACAACAAAGTGATGATAAAGGAAAGGAGAAAGAGAATATTAAAATTAAAAAAGTCTTTAGTGTTGATTGGGATAATGATGTTATTTTGAGTGGTGGTGAAGATAATCAGTTGCATATTTATGGTACTAAAAAGATTGGTATTACAGATTAAGATTAGAAAAGGAAAACCAAAAAGGGTAACGAAAGGAATTTGAAAAAATCAAGGATTCGAGATATAGTTGGTGGAATTGAGAGTGTTTACGTTATTTATCACGTGAATACATTAAAAAAATATTCGAAAACCATTGTAAATAAAACTGTAACCTAATGAATTCACGGTTAAAGAATCAATGAGACCATTGCAGTAGAAATTTCGTTAATATAAGTTTCAAAAATTGTGCATTAATAAAGATATAATTTATAGGTGATCACTTTGATGAATGTGTATATTGATTGATTTCCTTAAATGGAATTGATGACGGACAAAATTTTAAATGACGTCATTTCTGGCCGTGTGATTTTCTGAATAAAAGTGTACGTGTAAACAGTTCTGGTTTTTATTTCTCTCTCTCTCTTGAGTTTTGAGTTTTGACAATATCAGTCTTCTTCGCGCTTATTATAATAATAATTTTATTTTATATAATATCGTTTCGAGATGTTTACACGCATTTTCGTAGAACTGTGATTGCAAATTTTCCAAATCGACCTTTCAACCAACGCGTCTTTTCGTGTTTTGTTTATTAAAAAAGTCACATCAAGGTTATTTATTTCTGATATTACTAATATTCAAGGATACGGTATTCAAGGGTACGATAAAGCACAAAGATTTCCTTTATTGTGGACGATATTGGTTGGAATCATGACAAGCAACTTGAAGTATCGGGCTATTATTTTAGGTGGGTGTTATTTGAATTTGCCTGTTATTAACTTTGTGGGGTCTAACGATGCACAGTAAAAACGTTATCACGTCCTAAGTCTTGGTGGTGTCTCTTGGTGGGATTATCCTCTTGAGACTGTGTATTCAGTAAAAACATTATCGCGTCTTAGGTCTTGGTGGTGTCTCTTGGTGGGATTATCCTCTTGAGACTGTGTATTCCTATGTGCCCAATTTCTCTGAAGCGCGAGAGTAAGCTTTAGCAGGATATCCCTATTCTTATGGCATCTGTTTGGGATGTCAGACTCTCTTTTGATTGAATCTGGTCTGACTCTCCACAACCTACTCCTTTTTTTTTTATAACTTAGAACGAGATACAAGAAATGGAAAAGTCGAACGATATTGGGGAGCGTCAGAAACCTTGAGGATTTGTTCAGAGCAACGGGATTTACATGTTATAAAGGGCTCGTTGGTAAAAATTGGTTAGAAAGATTCAACTCATTATGATTATCGAGTTTTATGATATATCATCAGCTGCAGTCCAATAATCGATTCGGATTTTCACGATCGCGTAAGATGACTCCATGACTATTTTAGATCCCGTTACCTTGATTAAAAAAAGAAAAATTATTATTATTATTTTAGATACCAATTAAAAATTCCTAATGTTGCAAATAAAGATAACCCGGAGAGATATTTATAATTTTTTAAAAATAGGAATATATTTTTCAATTTTAATTAATCTAATCTACAATTTATTAAATAAATCCGTGTCTTTTTCATTATCTATTTACTTAAGGATCTTTTGATCCTGCACATATAACAATTCTTTTAATGATTGTCTTAAAACGTTCATCGGAAGGATTAAAGGTTTGATGAGATTTGAATAGTTGTTGAATCTGACCATCAATTCGGGCTAGATTGACATTTAATAATTAACTTATCGATATGTAGCCGACTTCAGGAGTACTTTAAAAAAAGTAGGATAATAACTTGAGCCTTATTTATATATCTCAAATTTAATTGTTAAAATGTAACAATTTCAAACGTTAAATAATCACGTGAAATAATCATAAATCCGATTCGTAAATTTTTTGAAGCGTAAAAATTTTTTTTTTTTTTTTTTTTCGAATAATGTTTTCAATTTCTAAAATTTCTAGAAATTTTAATTTAAATTCATTAAATTTATATCGTAACTTACAACTTACTTTTCAAAAACGATTATTAACATCGCCATCGAATATCTGCAAAAGTGATGATAAAACAAACAAACCAGTGGCAGAAAAAGAAATCGATGAAATTAGCAAGAATGATTCCGTACAAGAAAGTAGTTCCACCAAATCAAAAAATCAACAAAACATTGACGATATATTAAGTCTTTTTAGCTCAGAACCATCATCACCATCATCATCTTTTCTATCGACGAAACAAGAACTTCCTTCAGAGAAAGAAGGAATAGATCGTTTTTTATCAAATTTTCAATCTAAAAATTCATCTTCCTCAACTTTTCCAACTTCCTCTTCCTCTTATCGTTCTTCCTCTCCAAATTCTGATGTAGCAAAACTTTTATCGGATTTCTTAGTTCCTTCTGAGGAAACTTACATTCTTCATATTCACGCATCATATAATAATACTTTAGTAACATTAACAAACTCTCGTGGTGATATTTTATTAACTAAATCAGGTGGTAGTGTCGGTTTTAAGAAAGCTCAACGAGGGGGTTATGAAGCTGCTCATCAAACTGCTGCTGGAGTCATTCAGAAAATCAAAGAAAAAGGGTTAAATGTCAAGAATGTAGAAATTTGTATAAAAGGATTTGGTCCAGGTAGAGATGCTGCCTTTAAAGCTTTGGCTAATGTAGAGAATCAATGGAATGTTAAACGAATTACCGATACTACTCCATTGCCTTTCAATGGATGTAGGCCAAGAAAAGCTAGAAGGTTATAAAGTGTGAGAAGGGGGGTGAATGAAAATGTTTACTTGAACGTTTTGAACATTTTGAACATTTTGAACGGTTTAATACAATTCTTCAAACCAATAAATATTAATTTATTTTGCATAAAAAAAAGAAATTTACATTAGAACAAATAATTACTAAATAAAATAGATAGATTATGATTTTAATTTTTCCTTTTCGGTTCGCTCTTCCTGAGTGAGTTTAGAAAGATTGTACAAATCAGCTTGATATAAAATTTCTTCATTTTCAGCTACATTTTTACCTGGAGAAGCATATCCATTATCTATTAAGTATTGCTATAAGATACAATTTAACATTAGATCGGATAATTTATTAAGAAAAAGAAATATAAAAGAGAATACTTACTTTTTGATCTTCCAAACAGCTCCAAAATTTTCTTCTCGCAGACGTACATAAACTCATTTTATCAAAAAATCCACCAAAGGACATACATTCTTGTAATTTAACATGTAATTCTGAACAATTAATTAATGCGCCATTCCATATTTCTTTTTTTTGATCAAAATAATCTGTACGCATTTCTGATATTTTAAGCTTTTGCGCTAAAGATTGTTTTGCTTCTTGTTGCCGAGAAAAAGAATTATCATTTATAGGAGATTCGCTAGCATTATCATCCTTAAAAGGTTTATTTGAAAATATTTCGGGATTTATAGTTGGTGACGATAACAATTCCGATAATGAAATAGATTTCGTTGTTTTTTCTTGGTTTTTCACAGTAGTTGAAGACTTTGGTAATGGGTCTGTAATTGATGTTTCATTTGGATCATACTTTGGTTGTGAGGTTTTTAAAAAATCTCCTAAATATGAATTTACATCTTTGATATAATTCTCTATAAAAGTTTTTGTTTCTTTGTCATTATCTTGTTCGGAATTTTGTGAAGGCATGGAAAAATGATTGATCAGAAAATTTTAACACCTACGTAACTCCATTTATTAAAATTTTGTAATATACCCGGGTTTTTAAAAAAATTATAATTCGATAAAAAAGATTTTTGATCTTTTTACAAATGCCAATTTTCAAATTTAAATGTTTATTTTTAAATTGAAATAAAAAGTTTTAAAATAGTTAATTCGAATTGTTAACATAAAGTTGGATTATTCATAATTAATTTATTAATAAAATAATTATGTTACTTTTACTTCATTTAGGTTATTGGTAGGTCCAATACATTTTTGATCATATTTGAAGGATAAATTTCATGAATTTGAATGTCTAATTTCTTAATTTGAATCAGAAATCATAGTATTTCTTGGATAACTATTTATCCCTTAAACTATATACAGGCAAATTTGTCTGTAACTATAAAAAAAAAGTTTTAATTTTTTAATAAAATATAAAATATTAATTTTAATAATATAATTATTATGAAAATTATAGTTTAATATATATTAAGTTTATTAAGAAATTTTTAAATAATTCAATTTTAAAATAAAGTTTAAAAAATTATTCTTAAAATTCATATATTTGTGACTAATTGAATCACTTTACTACATAAAATTTCTTAATAAATTATATTCTTTAAGATAAATTTTATTAGATACATTATGATTAATATTGCTAAAAATAAATTTTAATAATATAAAATGTTTTAATATTTAATTTTTTAAAAATTACAAATTTTTAGTTTATAAATAACTTTACATTTTTTATTAAATAAAAATTATTATAATATTTAATATATATGTATAAAATTTATTTAAAAAAAAATTTTAAATAAATTTAATTTTTTATAAAAATAAATCAAAAGAGAATTTTATAATAAATATGCAAGTAAATTTATTTGTAAACTCTTATAATTTAAGAAATAATCTTAATTATATATTTTAAATCAGAATTAGTTTTTAATCATTTTAAAATTAAAATAACTTTTAATATTATATATATTTATATAATAAAACTTAAATTATTTAGAAAGGAGAGCTTATGATATTGTATTCTATTGCAGCAGTGTTATCTTGCTTGATTTTTAAGTTGATATTATGTGCTTTTTTAAAAGCAGCTTATTTTAAACATCGAATGAGTGGCTTGTCCTAAGACATATTAATATATTAATATATTAATATATCTTAGAACAAGCCACTTGCACTAGACTAATATAGAGCCTTTGCAATAGAAAGGGAGAAAACTCCAAAAAAATTAAAATTTTAGTTTATAAGTCAAAAATGTTCCAAATACTATAATTTGTTCAAATTTATTATTAACTCATTTTTTATTTTTTTTTGAGTTTCCTCCCTTTCTATTGCAAAGATCCCATATGTCTTAGGACAATATAATCTTTTAATTAGTATGTTCTAAGACAATATAATTTTTTAATCAATATGTCCTAAGTTATTATAATCCTTTGACTAATATATCCTAAAAGTGAGGTCAGCTTTCCCTGTTTATGACTCATTGGTCAGTAAATATAGATGTAGTGTACGCCTATTTGGTTGCCTTCAGGATGCTAAAAAAAAGGTGACAAATGGCGCAGTAAATTCGTGATTAATTCAGCTAATATTATATCTTAATTCTGACTGATCTTTAAAGCATGTAATTCAGAATCCAGCTTGGCGTCATGGTAATGACCTGATAGTATCCTGGAGCTGTCATAGAACTGGCAGGAAACTTGAGTGTTTCTATTAGTTTTTCAGTTTCAGACTAGCTTAGATATCGAATTATTATGTTCAAAGATTTAGCCAAAATTGTGGAATAATGCTGGCCGATTTATACTCACCTTACTGCGCCAATCATGTGGTTCTATTACGATACCGAACACCCTTTTATAGTACAAGCTAGTGACAGAAACATTTCCAGAACATCCCTGAAACTCAATATATATGTAGAGTTCTGAAAATAACTCGCATAAACTCGCATATTTGACTCGCATGATTGTGCATAATTGTAAATTTTAGTTATACATAATAAATAAATACTTTAAATTAAAAGTATGTAAGATAATTTTGACTCAAAACTCGACTCGACTCGACTTATTAGGAACACTATATATATGCATTTGTGCCACATATTTTTTGTATCTATATATTTCTGAAATCTTTTTAACACTCTTGAGCTTCAGTCTGATAGATGGTTGGTTAGTAGAGAATTGGAGATATAATATGTACTATCTTGACCTAACCCAATTGATTACCAAAAAGTATGCTATCTTGTAACTTAATTATTATGTCAATATATGTATGCTGATTTCATGTCCATAATTGAAGGTGCATTATATATTATCATGGCCAGCCTATTTATACTATACTCGAATACATATCTAGAAGATAGAGGCTTCTGCAATATTTTATATAATGATTACGCAGTTACCCTCATCTAAAAAATATAAGTCTTCTTCCATTATTTTATATAATATTAAGGAAGATATCCGCTTCAGACTTATCCTCTAAATATATATATACCATATATACCTAAATACATACCATTGAGATGGGGCTTCTTCCAATATTTTATATAATAATTCTGAAGAAACCCCATCTAAAAGTATATATCTAGAAGCCTTTCTATCGCTTTTTTGCGTATTTGTTTACTCTAGATGTTATATATATCTGAGTACATACTAGTGTTAAGGTAGTCTTCTGCTAATATTTTATATAATGATTACGCAGAAGACTACTTTAAGTATCACCTATTAAGAATCTATCTATCTGCGATTCTCTTGCCATTCTGCTATATGTATCTTTTTGCATCCATCAAAAAAAAATTAATTAAACATTTTTAATTTTTATAGAGTTATATAATACTTTTCATACTAACATCATGCATACACCAACTATTTCCACCTGCTATAACAACACTGGTTCCAGTGAATACTTAAGTGCAGTGTGTAAAATTCATGTGCACAATGTGCATATGTGCACATTAAATTTTTGTGTGCATATATTATACAGCATAAAATGTGCACAAATAATTACTAAAATAGATAAATTATATATAAAAATGGATAAATTATTTAT